GCACCTCACGTGACCCTAATGCGCTAACTTGTGTACTCGAAGAGCATTTCTCGTACTATTACAGCTGAAAAAAACAAGTTTTATGGCGAAAAACAGTATAAATGCCAAATGCCCCATTTACAAAGGTTCTTTTTGGCTCCTATGAAAAGAAGTCAAACAGGTTGGAATTTTTGAAAAGCACAAGAATGTTCTTACTTTAAACTTATGAATTTTTTGGTAGGCCCATTCATATGAAGAGTGAACTGCATACTTGAGTGAAACGAAAATGCTAATATTACTTATAACCTTGGTTAGTTAGATGAATTCTTTTTTATATTTCATGCCTCAATTTAGTTTGCACAGGTAGTGTGCGATCTTTGCGCAGTAAAATTTGTCCTTTACTGAAACAAAGCAATGTTCGTCTCATTTTAGGCAAATATTGGTACATGTGTCAAGGCGGCCGACTTGAACCACGTGGATGTGTAACCGAGTCAAATCGCATGCTCAACATCGGTTCTACAATCGAAGCCGGAGGTTACGTAGCCGTTTGTGAACTGGGTAAGTACAATCTTTGGCAACCAGTGAGTTTCCGAATCTGACCTTTATGGAGACCGTCGTGGACGGTCACACTCGCACGATCGTAATGAAAAGTTAGTTGGAACGAGATAAACGTGCTACTTTCAGGATCTGATGGCTACTTGCAGTTCCGTTTCACCGCATGCGTTGGTGAGGGCAATCGACACTACAAAGTTGGGGAAACATGGGCTGATGCTCAGGTTTGTAGAATCAATCTATTTCCAGAAAAAAAAAACCGTAAACTGAGATTTCTTTTGTAAGTTTGGGAATTTAGCTGAGCTAATATAGCAAAGTTTTCGGTGCATATTTATAATAAACAAAAGAGAATTCTTTTGTTATGAAAAACAAGCATATTTTCTCTGTGTTACCAAAAGCACTATAAATAATCTACAACTATCGGAATCTGAGAAATAACCCAGATATCCATACTGTGAACAAAATGGAAACCCTAACAAACAATCGTAAAAATGATTTTTCAAAAAGGC